ATAGATAGATAGATAGATAGATAGATAGATAGATAGACGAACAAATGGTATTACGCCTTGGCTATGCCATGCTCTTGCGTAGGTTCCAGCAGTAAGCACGCAAAATCTAAGCGAAGTTCCTTTCAGCAGGTTCTGTGGATTTCGTGTTGCAATCGAACAACACTATGCAGTTCTGAGAATGATAGCGCAAGAAGACGGTTCGAAAAAGAAGGTAAAAAAAGAAAAGCAAGCTGAATGGAGCGAAACTCGGATTTTTCATGTCGGTAGCCGGTCGCCTATATGACGCACAATGCACGGAATGGGAATCCGACTTGAAAAAGCTTGATTTATTTTTCTTTTTCGCAACACTGCATCAACTGTTCGGCTTTATAACACGACAGACTGCAGGGGCTGCATCCTACGTTAGAAGAAAATGCAAGAAAATGTGAATAGAGAAAAAAGGAATAATCCGTTCGATAAGAAATAAACAGAATAATGAAGTGCTTTAGTGACTGAACGAAAGCTAGAGGGAGAGAAAGGTATGAAAGATAAAACTAAAGCAAGGACGTGTACCTGTATCCATGTACATAAGCAGAAGAAGAGGCCGCCAGATGCCTGTTATGGATGAAAGAGTTCACTTTTTTTTCAGAACTGCAATGCCTGCTGCAGTCCGCAGCGGTAAAACTACATGTGCATCGCGACTGTCTCAAAAAGATAGAGAACAAGAACAGTCTCATGCCTGTAAGTGGGATGCTAACTTTGTGTATATTTATAGCACGGTATAGTAGGCATAAGTGAATAACCGATGCCGTTAAACATTATAAAACTGGAGCTCAGAAAAAAAAACGTGGCTGGTGCCTCTATATAGGAATCGCTATAACGCGAAAATGAAACGTGTCTTTACAGAAATATTTAAGTATTTACTGTGCATTGTTTCAGTAACAGTAACAAGCTTTGAAGTCACGTTAACAACGGTAAGCAGCTCGAAACTTCCAGCGCACACTTCAGGCAGGAAAGCACGCACTAAATAAGTATATACAGGAGGAGCGTGCGCGTACTAACAACTGTCACAGCTTGACACTTCAGGCGCGCTGTTCAAACAAAAGAAGGACGCACGAAAACGAGCGCAGTATACACAAGCGCGAGCAACTGCCATAATTCTTCCTGCGTCGCGGCTCAGCAGCGCGCTCCTTTCGCAAACGTGGCCTGCGGCAGCGTGCAAAGTGACCTTGGTCCTCTCCGGAATTACTGGTCTGATAAGCGCACGCGCAGTAGAGACCACGCTCCGTGGAGGCGGCACTGCGTGGAGGTGACGACCTTTAGAGCGTGCCCAACGCTAGAAAACCTTCATGTGCGCGCGCGTCTTCGTAGACGCGAGCAAATGAAGGCTCCCTAGCCTAACGCGAGAACGTCGCGCCATCTCGCCACTGATAACGAAAACGCGCTAAAGTTTCGAAGCTCTGAGGACTGCGAACTGGTGTACGGTGCATATAAATGACTTGCCGTTAGCTTTACTGACAACGCACTCCAGTGCCATAGTGGTTAGCACCGTGTGCTGGGAAAGCGAGAGGTTGCTAGTTTAATTTTGTGCGACCAAAGACTTCTTTTCTCTTTTTTTTCTCTGCACTTTCTTAGCATATATTTTTCAACGTCACTTCCGTGACGGAAACACGTCAGCATAGCCGTGGTGGACCACGACATAAAACAATTTCGTGTTAAGAGAGAGAGAGAAAGAAATGAAGTTCCTAAATAAAACAGGTTGACTGCCAAGCGTTTAGAGGCCGTAAATAGGATTGAGCGTGAATGGACAACACACAAGAAGAGAGGACAACTGTACGAGGTCTCACTACCAACTGGTTTTACTAGAAAACACATGGGAATATAGCACACCACAGGTGTGTCTGCGCACACATCCAGCAAGAAAAAATAAAAAATAGAAACATTTCTGTGTTTTCTAAAAAAAAAACAATTGGCAGTGAGCGCTCATACACCCGTCCTCTCTTCTTGTGTGTTGTCCATTTGCGCTCAAACCTATTTCATTAGGAATCAACGCACCTAACAAAGCATTTTCTTGAGAGGTCATAACAATGGGGATCGCTCTTCGAATTCCAACATGTATTTATTGTATTTTAAAACCTTTATTTCTTTAGCTACCTGTTTACTTACCTTTGTAATATAATGACCTCTTGTAATGACCTGTACCATATTGTATTTTACCATAATTGCATGTTGTTATTCTGGATTTTGTCCCTTCCCCCTTGATGCAGTACACTGTAAAGGGTTTTTAATGGTAAATAAATGATGATTGATGATGATGATAGATGAAGATGATGAGAAGCGGGTACGCTGAAGCAGTACTTCTATCAAAAGCATGCAACACAATGAAATAATGAAGTTTGGGGAAGATCTCAAATTAGTACAGAACCAGGTGGTACACGTCATAACAGCCATTGCTTTAGGCGATGCTTCCAGAGAGTGGCAGACTGAATGAAAAGGCACGCTCATACAACGCTCGCGAACTAAATATCAATTGAAAAACACTGGCTACGGTTAGGCATGGTCTGCGATAAAAGCTTTCTGGATAGAATAACATAATTCATCTGGACTACATGCTCATGTGAAAAGGTAGAAGGAATAATATACGCATGTTATGTTATGTTAGGCGTGCACTCAACCCCCCCCCTCCCCTCACACACCCACGATGAAGCAAACAAAGCTCGAGCCTTTCATTGTTACGATGGCGAGAAATGCGAAATACACCCCGTGTACCTGAAATGCACATAAAGTAACTCCGTCTTATGAAAAGTATTCTGTAGTTCCCCAATACGGCTCGCCTTATAATCATGTTATCGTTCTCGCTTGCAACACCCCGCACTTTTTCATACTCGCACACACATACGCACTATCTTTCTCGCATGCGAGCGTGCATACACGACGCACGCTCATTTTCATATACGCACAAACACTCACACCTGTGACAAGACTCAGGTTCTCGCTCTTAACACAGACACTCGCAGTAGATGCAGCCACAGAAAGATTTACAGCACAACCAGTGGCTACACGAGGAGTCGCCAGTTGCCCTTCATGCAAACTAACGCCATACTACGCGTGGAGTCGTGATAGCTCGCCATTGATTTCGTCCGGGCGGGCGTAGGCTCATCAGAGCGCGTCTTGGCCATTAAGCTCATTAGGAGCGGCGCGCCCTTCCAGATGTTCCGCGTTGCGCGAATATTTGAGAAGAGTCGGCGCGGCGGGTCCCGCGCTTAATGACCGGGAACCCGCGATCTTCGCAGTCTCGGAGTGTGGACGTTAATCGAAAGCCTGACTCGGCAAAGCGAAAGAGCGGGACTGTGTGGCTGCGTGCGTGCGGTGACACGTTGTCGGGGCATGCGCTGGACTCTAGTTTCGCTCTCTGCCGCCCGCATCTGTCAAGGTCGAGAGGCAGCCAAGGTCGGGTGCCGAAATGAAGCTCGGTTCACCGATTCCGTGCAGTCCTGCCAACGCTAGAGCTGACACAGTAACGTAGTTTACGAGCGAAATTTAGTGAGTGAGTGAGTGAGTGAGTGAGTGAATTAGTGAGTGAGTGATGCTTGGTTTCTGGTCTGAAAGTCGTGGGTTCGATCACGGCCTTCTCGGCCGCATTTCGATTTCAGAGAGACGTTGCTAGTGGCCCGTGTACTGTGCAATGTAAGAGCACGTTACTAAACACAAGGTTCGTCGAAATTTTTTGAGGCGTCCGGCGTCTCCAATTATATCGCGGTTTTTGTACGTGAAACCACGGGTATAGTTATTATTAGTGTAAGAAGATTTGGAGAAACCATATCTCACTCACCAAAACAAAATTGGTGAGTGGAGTGGTCTGTCTGTCTGTCTGTCTGTCTGTCTGTCTGTCTGTCTGTCTGTCTGTCTGTCTGTCCGTCCGCCAGTCTGTCCGTCCGCCTGTCCGTCCGCCTGCCCGTCCGTCCGTCCGTCCGTCCGTTCGTCCATCCGTCTGTCTGTCTGTCTGTCTGTCTGTCTGTCTGTCTGTCCGTCCGTCCGTCCGTCCGTCCGTCTGTCTGTCTGTCTGTCTGTCTGTCTGTCTGTCTGTCTGTCTGTCTGTCTGTCTGTCTGTCTGTCTGTCTGTCTGTCTGTCTGTCTGTCTGTCTCATGCTAGGGTCACGACAGAAGAGCAGATAAGTGTGCCTAAAATGACAGATTAACTTTGTCTGGTCTGAACAGGTCTGTGTTGATGCACTAATGCGTCCAGCGATCACCTTGTGGCAGCCTGCCACGCGCGCTGCAGGACAAAAGGGTACGGCGCCGGACGGCCTACCGACCGTCTCTTGCGTAACACGTGCGCGCGTGCTGGTTGATACTTGCGTGCGCAAGGCCGGTGCGTAATAATTAAAACCCGGCCTTGGCCCAACTACGGGGTTGTAAAAGTGGGGAATGCAAATGCGCACATCCGCCGTTTCGTCTAGACGGCTTCGCCTGTCTATGGCCAGCGAACATGTCTCGTCCACCCAGGCGTGTAATGGACGGGAGGTCACGTGGGCTGTGCACGCATTGTGTCGACACGAGGTGAAGACGCCGATGGTTGCTGAGAAGTAAAGGTTTCTGGTGGTCTCGATGAATCTGTGCAGGGATTTACGAAGTTAATGATGTCGGCAACCGTAAAGGAGCGACACAAAGGTGCTCCTTATCAGTGCTCTTTACTATTTACCCTCGTGGATCACTCCTCATCAGGCCTGTTCACATAGTATGGTGCAGTACGTTGTCTGATAGAGACGAAGACTATCGATAAATGGATATGTATTGAATGCCGGCGAATAGATTCGGCGCATTTTGATAGTATGTTAAGAGTCCTTGAGATCTGTCTCTTCTCTCGGTTGATCTGAGTCTATTAATTGTATTGGTCGAAAAATAAAAGCTTACAAGACCTAACTAAATGAATGCATGACGTGTAAACAAAAGATCACAAGACGTGCATGCGTTGACCATTAAGAACATGCTTACGTCGAGTTTGCCTTATTTTTGCGCAGAGTTCAGTGCACTACTCACTGGTCGTGGTTCGTATCCCACTGCGGCCACGACTGTTGCGGCCGTCGGGTACCTGACCTACATAAAGAAGGACCTCCACATCGGTGTCTACCACAACAGGTGCGAGTGCTTTTCGGCGACTTCCGCCCATTCTTTCCTCTTTGCTGTTCTTTGACAACTCTTAAGCTTCGTCCATTCGGGACACTATGGAAGCTTGACGAAACGTAATTCTTCAACGCGGGTGTATCTCTGCGGCCACCATTTCAACCGGGCATCTTGTTTTCTTCTAAGCCGGGACTGCCTTTCAGCCCTAATGTTGCAGAGTTGACGAAGATAACAGCGTTTCTCGAAAGTTCGGCTCGGGTGACATCCGGTGTTCAAGAATTTTCATCGGTTAGCCTCTTCCTACAGACAGCCACAGAGGTGATATGCGGCCTAACGTGCGTGTGTCATCTCGAGTTTTTGTTGAAGTTGTCATTAGGAGGTCAAGAAGAGAAAAAGTTCTTTACTGAATAGGAGAAAATTCTGCCGGCGTCTATAAAGGCTCCTACATACTACTGTGCGTAGCATGTAGCACGGAGGTCACAGGTTCGGATCCTGCTGGTAGCAAGTAATCTTTTCGTCCACTTTACGTTCCTCACATTTACTTTGCAAGTACTACTAATAACATCCCCTATACTTTCCTTGGCATCATTGCCTCTTAGTTCTTCATAATATTGTGCCTAACAAAAAAAAATGAGCCTTAATATTTTAGTATCTTTCTTTCTGTGTAGGAAAGGGGATTGATGAAAGTAAGACCCTAGGAAAAACAGGACAGTAATATATATATAAAACACGAAAAATGCGATTCTGGTATTTAGAAGCGCTAAGGCAATAATCCTGTAAGCCACTTTACGTTTTATCCATATTATTAAGAACCTCGAAGAGAGTGAAGAGAAACTTTATTTAAATTGGAGGTTGCTGAAGAAGAGAAGGCATATGTAAGTAACTTCCTGAGAACCAAAGGTTCTTGGGAATCGGAACATATTGTAACGAGGAGTATTTGTTAATGAATCGCCACTCAGCATCAGAGCGAGATGACACTGCACTGAGCGCACAGACTTCAAGTCAACAGGGCAACCCAGACTGAGCCTCTCAACAACAACATTGTCGTCGTCTTCCTTTCGGCGACATTTCAGCGGCTCCGCAGGAGCGATGCTTGTATACCCGTGACAATATTTCACCTTGTACAAAAACATTCTCTCTTCTGCGTGCCTGATAATCTTGCAAATTTCGCTTCCCCCTCTTTAATGGTACCACAATTGACACAATATAGGGTTAGTGGTCAAACCAAGGCAGCCCGTTGAGATGGAACAATTGATGAATGCAGCATTGAGGTGGAGTCGATGATAGAGTGCCTCATGGTGGTGAGGAAAATGACGCGCAGCTATTGATTTCAAGTCATTGTTACTCGGGTTACTCAGAAACTGTGTTTTTACGTAATAGTTTGGGAGGGAAGGAGAGAAAACACATGGTTGATACCTCCGCCACAAGACGTGGTAGTGTCTTGTTTACCTATTTTGAGCATTACTATGAGACTTACCTGGATTCACTTTTACACTCACGTCTACTCAAAAGTATTCAGACGCAGTGTCGTTTGTGAACGATATGAATATTTATTGATCAGAGACATAAGTTACATAGAAGGGTGCTTCCACCTCCCCCTCCGTCCCCGTTATTTTTTTCAGGAAAGTTTTGGATACATACTTCCTATGCTGTTATCTCTTTCAATAAAAAATGACTTTACTGGTTTGCGATCCTTTATCACTCGTTTTCTAAGGTACTATAGGAAAAGGCACGAATAAGAGAGCTTATTACGTGTCAAAGTGCAAGACACCTCGGACAAGAAAGGTAATTCTAAGCCAGCAGACTCATGAGTCAACTCACTCGGACTCACTCAGCCTCAGATCGAGTTGTAAGGCTGAGAATGAGTGAGTCCGGGTAAGTATTGTTTTAGAGAGTTTGATTCCAAGTGAGCCCGTGATAGGGGAATTTCGGTTAGCCCGAGTCCCAGTGAACACTAAGCTCGAAATTTATTTCATGACTAACGTCAATCATTAACTACTAAACATACTTCTCTACTAGCTGAAGTAGCTAACGGCGAGAGTATAAGCGGGAAAAGTGGTGTGGCAGCCAGAAAACCATCGCTGATACAACACAAGACTTGCTACGAGGCCGCCATACCGTGCCATGATAGAGAATGATGGCACACAATAGCTGAACTAGATGTGCGTCGTATACGTCCCCTGTAGCACGGCGGCGATTTTTCTCGGACGCGAGCGTTAGCGAAGAATGCGGTGCTAAGCCAGGTGAGGCATGTGTGCGTTGCAGGGCTGTTTTTTGTATGGATGGATTCCATGAATGACTCCTACCCTTGAGCTAATGTCGCCACAACGCTGACTGTTGAGACTTTGACGAAATTGCGTCGGACTTGTAACAACGACGCGTTCAGGAGTTAATTGCGGAGGCCATAATATTGATGCGTTAATTCCCGTTACCACTACCGGAGGGCGACAGCACTCCGCCGATCAAGAGCGCTGTGAAGGGAACGTTAGAGACACAGAAGGCGTGTTGGTAAAGCCTCCAGAGTGTGGCACCATGGAGTAATGAATAGCGTGCCCGGCATCTGTTGCTCGAAACAAGAGGTCGTAGTTTCGACCCAAGTACAAAGAACTCATTTGCTTTGTCATCTGATTGGGCACTTTTTTCCGACGTGATTTTCGTGAAGGAAGCACGTCATTGAAGTACTGTTTACCCTGGTATAAAACAAAAACAAAACAGAAGGCAGAAGAACACGGCTTATTGAAAAGGACGTCGATCAGACGTGTATTTCCAAGACCGAACTGTTGGCTCGTTTCCCCTCTCCTCGCGGAGGGAGGGGGGGATATATCGTGTTTTCAGCATTATCAGCAAGGTAGCGCAATGAGCGCGTGGCGGTTCTCCTCTCTCACGCGTACTTTGGCCCGCGGAGAGGAGGGGAGTGGACAATCTCTCGCGCGCCCTTATTTCCCGGTGGGGAGGATCATACGTCTCGGCTGGCGTCGGGCTTGCACTGGAACGATTCTGTTGTAGTTACGGGGTGCAGAAAGGCCACTGCAATTGTTGCACAGCCTCCGTTTGCGAAAAAGGTGCGCTTTTCAGACACCGAGAAGTAACAACTGAGACGCTTATTCGCTGTTCGTCTGTACCTGTGAGTACGTTTCGTGCGTCACTTGTGCCTGAGATGTGCGTTTCGTGTGTCATTTGTACGTTCCGATCTGCTTGCAATTTTACACAGGAGCTTCCAATTAGTTGCTATCGCGTTGATTCACTTCGCCTTTGTGGCAAAGCTGTGACTTTTTTTCCCTCTATCTTTTTGTAACGACGTGAATAACTGGTGCGTGTGCCATCTCAGTAAGCTGAAAGACCAGAACGAACAAAGACAAACGCAAACGCAGAACAACGACAATCCTAATAGCTGATACGGCACCCGCCATGATGGCCTATTGTGATTACGGTGCTCAACGTCTGATACAAAGCTCGCGGAACCGAACCCCAGAGGCAGCGGCTGTATTTCGATGAAAGCAAAACTACGGACCCATGTACTTCTATTTAGGTGTGAATTAAAAAAAGTTCTCAACCTGATAAATAGTTCCGGAACCCTCCGATCATATACCTCTCAATCAATTGAAGATATGGCTTCTCAGTTATATCGTCGCTTTGTAACGTAAGGACCACAGAATCGTATTGTTACTTTAACCTCTGTCCATTCTTAACGACAAGTGTAATGATGCACAACATGTTCATGAGCTCAGTGGCAAGAATGGGCTAAAAACGTATAGCGTAGAAAGCTGTCAATTTGTAATACGCAGCAAAGTTAACCTTGCTGGTCACGTAAAGGCATTACCTTCAACACAACTTCGAAAAATTACCAGCACCAGTATTCACGAAGGTTCTCGACGCATACGAAGTGTTGCTAATAAGAAGCCTATACGTCGCCACTTCTTTCCTTAGCGATCCAGCCATCGCCGTGTCGCGTGTCTAAGCGGGATTTACCGCAAGCAGGGCACAACTGGAGGAAATATACCGACACAGGCGATCGGTTTCGATCCGGGCTTTCTCGATGGCGAGGTGTTGGGCGCACGTAACGTCGTTAACTGCACCGGGTTCGTTAAGAGCCCAGGACGTCGCCACGTATAAGGATCGATGTCAGATGGAAGTAAGCCAGCATCGGCCAACCGTCCCCGAGGCATCGCAATCGATGCCACTCCCGCATTTCTTTTTTTTCTTTTTTATTGCTTTTCTCGCCACCGCTACCGGTCCTAATAGGGCTTTCAGCGATGCACCCTTCACCAAAAAGCTTTCACTAATGATCCGTAGTGGCACGTTTCCAAACAAATTTCATTCATTGATAATATCTGGAGCATTATGTGCCAAAACGACAGATGTGTAGGGTTTAACGTCCCAAAACCACCATTTGATGATGAGAACGCCATGGTGGAAGGCACCGAAAATTTCGCCCCCCTGGGGTTTTCTTAATGTGCACCCAAATCTGAGCACACGGGTTTACAGCATTTTGGCCTCCACCGAAAAGTCAGGTGCCGCAGCCGGGATTCAATCCCGTGACCTCCAAATCAGCAGCCGAGTGCCTTAGCCATTAGGCCACTGCGGTGGGGCTATGTGCCATGACGACGATAAGACTATGAAGTGCATCGTAGTGGAAAGATTCGAAAATTTCGACCATACGGTGTTCATTAGAAGGCCCCTGTACACCCAGAGGTAGAAACTTAGTTGTGGTATCGCAGTTGTAACTAACGACGTAGCACCTAATGAACCACTGATCACGACTAAACAGCTCATTTATTTAGGCATGATGGTTTCTCATTTGGAAATGGTTTTATAGCGCATTGTCACAGTTTCGGCTTCAGAGAGCGCCGAGTGAGGTGGGACCGAGACTGGTTTTCGTTGTTCTTGTAAACATAACTGGCTACGTCTGCACACTAATCCGCTTGAACATGAGCACTGCGTTGACATCTCGTTTCAACGAATGCTTCCTGGGTGCTGCTATAATCCCCTCTGATACGTATATATGCTTGCCCCCC